TAAAATGGGAATGACGTTTCTCAAGTCACTTTGAAACCATCTAGAAGGCAAGAAAAAGTGGTCAACACCAGGAAGTTGCTTTGGGTGTTAAAAAACAAAAAAAAAAAAAAAACAAAAAAAACAGCCTTACAGGCAAATAAAGACCTTGGGTTGGGCTAATAGAAAGACAAGGCGTCCTTAAAACAGTTCATGGCGATCTTAGGATGCAGCTTCAAAAAATTCAGCATGGGAAACTTTTACCCTCAGTCACCATGTGAAGCTGGCTGGCTGGCTGAGTTCGGTATGATGTGTGGGACAGAGAAATGTCAGCTGTAATGACACTGTAGCTGCTGACCTTCCTCCCGAAAAGCTGGAAAGAAACAAAACCTAGAGCCACAACACTTTTGTTTGATTAGTGGCAAATCAATGCATGGCACCTTTAAGACAGATGGTTCCTAATAGGTGCGCAGCAGGTTTTTTTTTTTTTTTTTTTTTTTTTTTTTTTTTTCTTCTTCTTAAGACCTTTATAGCAGTCCAGAATGGTAATTCCATTCTTACCCTGGGAGACTTCTCTGGGAAAACTAACCTAAAGTGCTTCTGTGGCTAGGACTAATTAGATTCACACTTCCTCTAGCATCCAACTTTTGGGGCACCAATTCAAAAAAAAGCTGATTGACTGTGGCTTTGTGGCCAATGGCACATGGCAGAGCTGCACATGAGGGTCTCCCACCAGAGTCACCTCCTCACCAGCTAGGTTTTCCTTCCTTTTTTCCCCAAGCCCTCTGAGAGAGTTTGGGATTTTTCTGTTGCAGCCTCTCTGCAGCAAACTCCACAGGCACTTGGGCCCCAAATGCCACCTGAGTCAGCTACTTTCACATGGTCTCCCATGCAGACGCCAGGAAATTATCAAATTGAGAGCTGAAATCAATGAAATAGAAACAAAGAGAACAATACAAAAAATTAATGAAACAAAGAGTTGGTTCTTTGAGAAAATCAACAAGATAGACAAGCCCTTATTCAAACTAACCAAAAGACAGAGAGAGAGCATCCAAATTGACAAAATCAGAAATGAAAAGGGGGACATAACCACAGACAATGAGGAAATCCAGAGAATCATCAGGTCATACTTCAAAAACCTCTACTCCACAAAACTTGAAAATCTAAAAGAAATGGATAATTTTCTGGATAGGTACCACATACCTAAGTTAAATCAAGACTAGATAAACTATTTAAATAATCCAATAACCCCTAAGGAAATAGAAGCAGTCATTCAAAGTCTCCCAACCAAAAAAAGCCCAGGACCAGATGGGTTCAGCGCAGAGTTCTACAGATCTTCAAAGAAGAGTTAATACCAATACTCTTTAAATTGTTTCCCACAATAGAAGTAGAAGGAATATTACCAAACTCCTTCTATGAGGCTACAATTACCCAGATTCCTAAACCAAACAAAGATGCAACAAAGAAAGAGAACTATAGACTGATCTCCCTCATGAACATTGATGCAAAAATACTCAATAAAATACTGGATAACTGAATCCAGGAACACATCAAAACAATTATCCACCATGATCAAGTAGGCTTCATCCCAGGGATGCAAGGGTGGTTCAACACACAAAAGTCCATCAATTTAATACACCATATAAACAAACTCAAAGAAAAAAAACTCATGATCATCTCACTAGATGAAGAAAATGCATTTGACAAAATCCAACACTCCTTCATGATAAAGGTCTTGGAGCGATCAGGAATACAGGGAACATACCTAAACATAATAAGGCAATTTACAGCAAGCCAACAGCCAACATCAAATTAAATGGAGAGAAACTCAAAGCTACTTTACTAAAATCAGGAACTAGGCAAGGCTGTCCACTCTCCCCATACTTATTCAATATA